CCCTTCTCAACCCTCGGCTTCCAGGAAAGGTGGGGTTTTCCGGTGCGTGTACAAATCCTACTGCTGTTACAAATCAAATTCAAACTACTGTTCAATAGGGGAATGTTGTGGATGAGGATCTGGGCTTTCCTCCTCGCACTTCCCCTGAACATACATGAATGGTATTCCGTGGCCCACACCCCTTCTTCCGCCTCCAATTCTTTCCAGGACTCCAAGTCTCTGGCGATGGAGTTCTTCGGATGCTCCAGGGTGAAGTACTTCCCCATGCGCTTGGCCTTCAGGCAATTTAAAGCAGCCATGTTAGCCATGCGTGTATGCAAGTTCAACTTACGTTGTTTCGAAGCGGGGAGACCGGCTACCACTGTCGGAATACCTTCAGGAAAATCGGAACTCCTAAGAGGTACAGGGGGATTTTTGACTCCTGGGATTGGTTTCTCACGAGCTCGGGAAAAGGTACAGCAGTTTGGCCCCCAGTGCTGTAGGTCTGAGACCTGGAGGTCCCTCTGCAACTGGTCACTGTGTTTAAAAATATCCCGGCCCCTCAACAAGTCCCAGGGTTCAGCGACCTTTTTCTCCTCTCTTTGAAGTTCCGAGGATTTTAAAAACTCCTGACCTCTCGAAGCGCAGGTCGCTTGCGCTCCTGAGAGGAGCTGTCCCTATTTCTTGGCGTCTTTGCCTCCTTTGTCCCTCTTGTGGTCTTCTTCCCACTTCCGCTTCTGCTCACGGGATTGCTGCTTCTGATCCTTCCGGAATCCCGGGGGAATCTGGCAGCGTGGCTCATGGCGTTTGCGGCAAACGATGCACATCCGGGGCTTTTGAGGATCGCCGGGCTTCTCCTTGTGGGAGCGCTCCGGGGTACGCGACCTCTTCACTCCCCTCTTCTCATCTCCCCCACCCTTGTGGTTAGATGGCCGCTCCTTTCCTAGGTCAGGGTGGCCTTCTGGTTGCTGGCTGAGGAGTTTCCAGAGCGGCTCAGTCGCGAACTCCCGGGTATAGTGGCTGAGTCCAGCTTCCACTGAACCCTTGCCTTTTGCCACCCACTTCAGGATCTCGCCAAAAATCTCTCGATCTGCACGTCGGGCTTCGTTCATGGTAGGGTTGCGCATGCCCTCTGCGGTCACTCCTCGCAGGCTGGCCACAATCCGCTCACCATAAGCCTTCACTACGTCGTACTTGCAGACATCGAGGATGTGAAAAGCACGCGCCCTCAGCTCAAAGAGGTCCTGCAGGGCGACGAGGTTGTCCACAACGATCGTCTCAGGGAACTCCAGGTCCGTGTCGGTCATCTTCAGGCTCTTCCCGTCCACGACCAGCTCCCTCTTGTCTTTGGGCAGCTTTCCTGCCCTCCTCAACCTTGCTTCGACCTCCATGGACACATACGACTCCCAAGCCAGGTGCTGGAAGGTTCCGTTTGGCGTGAAGGTCGCCTGCACCTTGGTGAGCGTGTGCAACGAAGGCCTCTCTCGATCGGACGTAGCCTCTGGCATGCCGGTCTCGACTGCTTTGTCTTCCAGCTCCTGGGCATGGGCTAGGGTGATCTTCGTCTTTCCCTCGCCTTCTTCTCCTGCCAACCTCTCCAGGTGGCGCTTGGCCACCTGGGTTGACAGTCCCCAGAGCTTCCTCACAGGCAGCCCGTGTCCGGCTCTGACTTGTATAGTCATCCCACGAGAGAATCGTCGGCTTCTCATAGACCATGATCTCGCCGTTGTCATCGCGATACGCCGCCCTCTTCCGCAGCATCTTCTTGAGGTAATCCTCGAGATCAGCGCTGGAAGGAAAACGGTATGCCATGGCCTCGAACGTACTTATCTTGTCCGCGGCCATGACCAAGAAGTCACTCTCATGGACCTCGAAGCTGACAGCAGCTCGTCCGAAGGCCAGAGCCGACTTCGCATCCGCCATGTTGGCAGGACTCCCGGGTTCGGGGATGTGGGTGCTTGATCCACTCATTGGGGCATCGGCACATGCGTCTACAGTAGAGGTGCACCCGTCACGTCCATACGAAAGGACATGGATCCCCAATGGACGCTCCAGCACTGCATGAACTCTTGCGAACTGGGTTGCATGGCTACATGGTTTAAACAGTCACCCTGGCACCCTAATTTTTCATCACTTCATAGTGGTCGGCCTACAGGTCTTCATCTAGCACCTCTTCACAGTGCAAGGTGCACCTGTGCCTACTCGCTGGATCAAAGCCCGGTTCACTGGGGTTCAGATGTCCTTCTACCTGATCGCTTCTGCATCGCCGTCCGCAGCGCAGCACCACCTTACCCTCCTTCTTCAGCACGAAATCACACAGCAATGGGCACGTGGATGCCTCTGCATTCTTTCCAAAGCACCTGCTGCAGAGCTTATAGTCTGTGCCCCAGCTGTGGTCCACTCCGAGTTCCGTGAACCTCGAACCCTGGCTTCCGCACCTTGGCATGTGTTCATCCCGGGCTGCAGGCTTATGAATCTTCCCCGCTCCCGAGGAGAGTTGCACAAAGGTGTGGTGCATCTCTAGGTCCGTAGTTGCGGGGTCTCCCTCGCTGTCATCAGAGTCAGGACCCCACTCGACGGCGTTGGGCGATGTCTCCACGTGTTCAATCGGGTGATCTTTGTAGTACCTGGCGGCTGCATCTTTCTCCTTTCCAAGGGTGACTTCCAGCTCTTCCAGGTCTTCCGCACCAGTCCCACGCAGCGCAGGGGGGAGTTCGGTAACGGGGACTGCGCAGTCCCCACTGATCCTGCGCTCTCCCTGTCGATCCTCCGTGCAAACTATGGCGCGCCGGTCTCTGGCAGCCTCTGCTCCTCCTCGAGGGTCTCTACTGTGGCCCAATCGGGCTGTCGCATGGTGTCAAGCTCCTGGCCCTCCAGGGTTTGAATCACTGCCCCTCGGCGAATCTGATCGAGCACCTCAATCTGCGCCTTCAGAACCAGAATCTGAGATTCGCGGAGGTACAGGTCTGGCATGAGCTCTGCCGGGTCTTTCCAGGCTCCCTGGAACCTCACCGTCCTGGTGGTGACCTTGAAGTGGGTCATATAGGTGGGCATGGTCGTCTTGCAGCTGTGCCACCTCAGGTGCAACGCCTGCTCCCTGGGCATGATATTCTGGTTCCCTCCATCGATGTCGGTGAGAAGCGCGTGCTTCACTGTCAGGGTGTCTTCGGAGATCAAGGGTGGGTAAAGCTCCCACCCTTCTGCTTTCCCCGCTGCCCTCCCGACGAAGGAATGAGTGCGCCAATCATGGCCGTGCATCACTAGGAGGAGTTCCACCCATCGGACCAGCCACTTGTCGTTATCCGGATGAACTCCCAGTAGGCTCGCTGCCCATGTCCTGCGGCCTGACTTTGTGTATGCTGCTTTGGCGCGGAGTCCCAGGACTCCTGAACTTCCAACCATTCGGCGCCACTCAACGTCCCTGCCGTGCCTGCCAGGTCGGAGTGACGGATGCTAGATTGCGTGCACAGGCGGAGCTTACCGCAAGCAATGCGAGTCTGCAGGTCCCGGGCTTCATCGAGCACCACCGTCTCCAGCCAGTATAGGAAACGGATCTCGAAGAAAGGTGCTGGCCTTCGCTCCGGGGACTTTCCAACGTAATCGGTGCAAAGCCTGCGGACCCGAGGGTGAGCGCTTCCAGGTGAGTGATACCCGAAAAGGCCACCAAAGTACTCCACGGCGTAGAGGAAGCTTCGAGGGGTATAAAATCCCACTTCATCTTCGATCAGGCTGATGACGAATGCCTGGATCGCTTCAAGCCCCATGATCTTTGGCCCGGTAGCTGAGGGAGCTCCATACTTGATCTCGTAGGCTTGAAGGTAGCGTGACAGGAGGCGAGCGTACCTGAGGGCTGTGCCTGCTGACTTCGGGTCCGTGTACCTGTGGAAGAGTGCAGAGTCGATGATGCCATCCCTTGAGCTAACTGTGTCCACCAAGTCCATCTCCACCCCATGAATCACAAGTTCTTCAAAGAGATGGGTTGCGAGCTTCCTGAACTCCTCGAGCTTGGTTTCTTCGAGGGGGCGGCTCCGGCGAGGAAGGCCCAAAGGGACGTAGGGCACGACTCGAGAAGGGGCGGCCTCCGACCCGCTCGGCTTTTCGGCTTTCTTTGAGAACCCTCCAAAGATGCCTACTTCGTCCAGGCCTCTGGCAATCCTACCTGGATCTTCCTCTGGCATGACTGCCGATGGCTTCGGCTTTTCCTCAGGCTCCGCCTCTTTGACTCGCAACTGCGGAATTTGAGGCACTGGGGACACTGCCTTCTTTGTAAAGCCCAAAGGCGAGAGTGCTGCTCCCGTCGCCCAGGTAGGAGTATCCCGGGAGGAGCGGTCTGTCGAAAGGTGAGGTGTTGAGGCTGCTGAGGAAGAGCCTTCTGAAGCGGCGGGTACCTTGGTAGGTTTCTCCGCCCTCTTCTCGGCGATCCAACTGGGAGGCGCCACCTCTGAACTCTGTGGTGGCCTCTCCTCCGACAAAGACTTTGCCACTGGATCGTCTGCTTCTTCTGATTCTCCCTGGATCTCCAGGGGTTGGTCACCTTCAGAACCGCTCCGGATGGCTTCCAGGATCTCGTTCGAAGGGACTCCGTTTTCGATCATGCGTGCGATCTCCTCCCTCGCGGACCATGCCCCAGCCGCAAACAAACCGCTTGTCCTTCCTAGCTTGGCACGGTCCCTTCGAGGGGATGTGTCGACCCGCTTTGCGCTGGGTCCTCTCCCCTGGCCGTCGCCGCGACCGCGACCTCCAGGAGGGTCGAACACAGTAAGAGGCTTACCACCGGCAGGGGCTCGCTCATGCGCCCACGCTGGAACAGGCATCTCCCCCCGCTGAAAAAGAAAAACAGCGGAGGCCTGTTCGGCTGCGGGGCTTGACCCAAAATGGCCACGTTGTTCGCCCCGCTAATCAGACATTTACTATAGTACCTGAGGCACAATCTGTATATATATGTATATGTATAATATAATATGCACAATACAAGCTTGTTGTAAAAAATGTGTGAATTGTTTCGTCGCAACGTGTGTTGATGGGTTTCGAACCAGTGAGCAGGTGAACTGCAAAGCCCCAGCTTGTGCCCACCAGAAAGCCCCAGCTTGCGCGCTGAACTACGGAACCCCAGCGTGATGCGTGACGTAGGACCAAAACTCAGCACCGCGAGAAGTGTAGGTCAATGTGGTGAAGATGGCTGTGCAGTGCCAAAGTGATTTCCGGATGCCATTCCTAGGTATCACAGATTCGCCAGTGTTGAAAGCGCATGAACTTGGAAGCTGCGCCAAAGAGAACCCACCCTCTTCAATCCAGTGGCTTTGAGGTGTTGGATCTATTCAAGGTCCAATCGAGTCACTTCCTCCACCTTTCACCCATCACAAGTAAACATCATTGCCTGTGAGGGGAGTCATGCTGGTCATTGATGTTGAACATGCAAACGTAAGTAGAAAAAGGATACACCGCAGCATGATCACACCAAGCAGGGAGCATCCCAACAGTTTCTACCGTTTGTACCTATGTTCATGGAATCGTTGGGATGGCGGTGACCCGAGGTGCTACTCTTCTGTTCAGGACATCTGTCCTCAACCCCTCAGACTTGCAAAACCATCTGGAGCCGTGGATCATGTGCATAGTGTGTTGATGGCTCACCCAGCACCCTGATGCAGCTTTGGGATACCAATCACGCATTGATGCGCCAATACTACCTGGTGGATCCTGGTTCCCATCGGCATGCCACCTTGGACATCTGCGGTTTTGGCTGGTCTTGGTTCGAAGCGTGTCACAGCAAGGCTTAGGGCTCGCATTCCTTTTCCATCGTTTCCGTTGTGAGGCTGTAACCCTTGACGCCGTGTCCTGTTCTGTATGGTCCTGGTGTCATCGACCATCGTGTACCCTAGCAAGGCTAATGGGGTGTGTCCATTCAACTGGCCTCAACGGAAAGATCTGCAGGGATTGTCCAAATTGGCTGGTCAACATATGCATCGAAACTATCAAAATGACACACCCTTTGAGCCTTGGGGCAGAACTTCTTCTACCCCCATTTTCAGACCCATCTGCATAGTCAGATCATGTCATATCATGTCAATCTTCAAACACGTTTCTACCCGGCCAGCATTTCTTCTTCAGCCACAGCCTCACGCGCCTCATGCGCCTCATGCGCATCTCTTTCACCGAACACCCGCGGCCGAAAAAAACGCCGCAACGCCTCAGGCGCGCCGCTCGAGCGCCTGAAGATTCACGGCCGGCCAGAACCTGAGGGCGAAACGCGAAGCGAAGCGAACGCTTCGGTGGCCAAACCCCATTCCGGTCGCCACGCCACGAAGATCCGGAAGACGGGATACGAAAGAAACGGAAAGAAAGAACAAACGGATCATTCATGAACATGTTTCATGTCCAGTCCGATGCCTTCATCGAGATCCCGAAACCTTCCCCACATTGGTGGGAAACGTCACCGTCACCCCACCACACCGTGACGGAGGATCGCGACACTTGCTCCGCACGCCACAAAGGCCGAGAAGCTCGGCGCGCTTCTTGTCCGGCATCGACTCAATGGAAATACTCTTGATGGTGTTCCTGAGCGTTTTCTGGGGAGAACGAAGGAAGGGATGGACAAAAAGGATCCAACGCGGATAGAAGTGTTGGAAGCTTGGCTTTCTTCTCAGTTCGGGCGGAGTTGGTTGGTTCTCATATGTCATATGTTCTCAGCCTATTTGTGGATCTGAATGATCTGAGAAGGCATCGCCATTCCTTCGAAGCTGCGAGGTTGAAGTGCCTCAAGCCTTTCTCAAGACACGGCTGACTCGCTATGCCACGGGTAAACAGAAAGGCGGCGCTAAGCCTCCTGACTTCACGCATGGCCCAGGCCGCGCTGTCTGTGTGCACCACGAGTGTTCTGAGTGTCTTTGACAAAAAGCACTATGGACACCATCAATGTAGCTTCCGAATTCGCGGAAGAATGGGGTCACGTTCCACAACCTGCTCACAGTGTACACTCACAGTTGCTCACTGTGTGATGGTGTATTTTCCTTCCAAGGTGCCATTTGAGCCAGAAGTAGTTGGCGCACCCGTCTTGCAGCAGTTGCCGCAAAATGCAGCTGCTGTCCGTCTCTTGGACCTGTCGACCGTGGAGCGAAAGCGGTCAGAGACGGTGGCCCTTGGGTCGTTTTGGGCGGCTTTTTGTTGGACTCCAAGACGACCAACAAACTTCCAAACCAGATGTCCACTTCATCTGGTTCATCTTCCAACAAATGAAGACTAGTTCATCTTCGCACTCATGAGCTATATATTTAGATGAGACCGGGCTCGGTTCTCCACACGTCTCGTGCGGCGAAGCGGTCGGTCACCGAGGCACACAGTAAAGCTCACCTTTGAGCTCTTCCTGAGCAGAGAGAGAGAGAGAGGCGTGGAGAGAGGCTGGAAAGGACATGAAAGTACGGCTGGAATTCATAGATGGGTAGAGTGTTGGAATAAGGGCATTATAATTCCTTTCTTTATAGCTTTTGGTGGCTTTCCTTTCTTCCAGGGGTCTTTGGCATGGGAGGTCAGTCTCCCTTGTTTAAATGACACCAGTTGCTGTGGATCCCATGGAAACCGGAGGATTCTCTGAACAAATGCTACTGCTTCGGCCGATCGAGTCAGCGGCATAGTCAGCATCTCCAAGTCACATGACTCACAACCCGCCGGTGGATGACCCCTGGAGTCATTTTTGAAAAGCCAAGTCACAAAACTGTACACCTGGCGCTGGCAACACACATCAAAGTCATGTTTTTGGTGATCTATCATGATCTATCCATCGCTTTTGGGTGGTTGTGACTTGGAGGCAAGCTAGCCATAAGTCATTAAATCTATCAAAGCTGGCGTGATTTCTGTTTGAATCACTGGGAGTGAACGAGGACCCGCAGTTTGCCTCTCCCAGCTCCACCATGATCCGACCTTCTCACTGATCCCCATCTCCCCATCCACTTCCCACTGTTCAAATCCAGTCAAAGGCTCCCCTCCCTGCGTGGTGAGCTTGAGCTCAGCACCCAAGAAATGCTCGGAACCCTTCGAGCGGATGTACTTCCTCGCTGCGGCGAAGGCAGCCAGCCGCACCAGTTTCGTCCAATTCCAGAAGGGTGGGAAGGTCTCATGGTCCAGAAAGTCTCATGCAGGCTCCAAAGCGCACACGGGACTTGAAGCAAGAGCCCCAAAGTGCTCTCGCTATCTGGGAAAAAGCGAGAGTGGGAAGCACTGTTCTGGGGTACTGTGGGAGTCACATTGTGACTATTTTAGTCAGATTTTGCTTGGAGGCCCGGATGATATTGATCGTCTTCCAGAAGACAAAACCATCCATCCGAATCAACACACCATCCATCTTAATCTTCGCTCAGGTCGTCCGACTTGAATCCGCCCAAAAGACTCCGCGGAGCCCACGCGGTTCCGTTTTGAGCGCCAAGCAGCTCCATCTGTTCGTGGGTGGCCTGTTGCACCGTCACCTGAGACTGTTTTCGAGTGCCCCACAGTACCCTAACGGTGTGGGGAGATGAGTGAAGATGAGTTTCAGATGGGCCCCATTGGCCCATGGCCCCAGGCTCCATGCCCTGCAACATGGCTGTTTGCCTTTCAGGAGAGGTCCAAATGCAAATAGATACTTAAACAAATACTGTCTCCTCATTCTGGGCTGCAACCCCATAGCACTGAAATAGAAACCCACAGCTCAAGTCCCCAAACTTGGTTCCAAGCCAATGATCCAGGACCACCTAATTATACGTGCTATCCCACCCAATTTAACCAGTGAAAACAGGCACCCCAGGCACCCATGTGTTGCCCCGCATGTTTGCACGCGTTCTTCTTCGCCCTCCACCACCACCCCCCACCCCCTTTCCGAACCACCCACGCCTGGATGTTGACGCTGCCCATGTCCGCCAGTTTCTCGGACATGTTCGTCAGGGGAGCACCGTCCTTGGCCAAGGAGATGAGATCCTGCCGGAGGCCGTCGCGTCGCGGGAGCCAACCCGGTGTTGCGTGTGTATGGCGGATGGAATGGATCAATAAGGCCCGCGACTCGAAAGGTTTGTAGCCATCATTGTAGCCATGTACACATCACCAAATAGTATGAAAATATACCAGCACCCTCCTGGCCAGGCTGTTAGTTGAGGGTTGTTGAACCCTAACAGGTCTCTATTGGTGACCTGTCAGAGGGTCCTGGTGTGTATATATATATATATATGTGTGTGTATATATATATATAATGTGTATATAATGTGTATATATATATAGGGCAAGCATCCAAGAGTCGGGCAAGCATCCAAGAGTCGGGCCATTTTCTATGGTTTGGAGCACCTCGCACTCCACAGCAAAGAGAAGGTCACGGTGGCCATTTATGACCATGCAGTTTGGAAAGCCTGGCAAACCACCAAGGCCTATGAATGCTGCCCGGATCTGTATGAGGGACTGGACCCTGAGGACTTCATCCAAGTCAGGCCCTTGCTTTTTGGGCGGAAGGAATTGGACTCCAATGCGGCCAGACACTTCTTTCAACAAGAGGCTGACAAAGTGGCCAAGAAATTTGCCAAAGAGTCTCGGAATGAAGACATCCTTGAGCAGCGGAACATCGATGAGGACACGAGAGACATCCTTTGTGTCGCATCAGCCCGCATGAACATCCTCTTGAAGGACAAGTCCCATTTCCTCCACAGGACTGCTGCACCTGAACAGCAGCACAAGGTGCCTCTGATCCAGCAGAAGAGGGAGATCCTTCAACAGCTTGAAAGCCGACCAGAGTCAAGGGGACATTCCTGGCAGCCCTTCCGCTCCGGAGTTCAATGCTCTCAAGCAACGGTTCCATGCTAAGAGCCTCATTGTTGAACTTCGAGCTGCCCTGGACTCCACATGCATGATGGCAGCGCCCAAGACCCCCAATCGGAAGACGAGATTTGAGGTGATCCAGGACCTCATAGCTGCCCAGGATGGCGTCCAACCTGGTGTGCACCATCTGCGGCTTGAAAAAGCATACCTCCGCTGCACGGAATGCTCCAGCTACATTTTAGCTCGATGCCGAGAGGACGCATTCAGCGGCGCCTTTGTTGGGGCACCCTGTCGGGTAGGCCCTTTGGAGCCCTCGCTTTGGTTTGGCCATCCCACGCACACGATGGCAAGACGAGGGAAGCAAGCTACATGCACCCGCTGCGGTGCGAAGGCACGGATCATTGAGGAGAAGCTGGAGCTCCATGACCGCCTTCGGAAGAGATGCGAGGCTGCTCAGACAAAAGACCTGAGAGCCTGGTTCACGTGAGCGCCTTCTTGCACAGAAAAGGCGTGCAAAAAAAATTGTATATAATATATATATATAGTTATATATATATATATATTAAGTTCTCGAAACAAATGATCAAGCAGGGGGACACTTGTCTCGTCCTACCAAAAATACCTTCGGCCTTCTGGTGTTTGTTCTGCAGCAAGGCAACCTTGGTCCTTGTTCAAACGCAAGAAGACTAACCACACCGTTCCTGGCCGTGTAGGGTCAGAGCAAGTCGACCTTCTCAAGCAGAGCCAGTTCGGGCGTGGGGTTCCTGGGGCTCCCAGAACCCACCAACGCCGCTGCGCTGCCCATGGGCGCGGCAGCCGCGTCGGAGACCGCGGCCCCGCTCCTCGGGCACATGAAACTCCTCTGCGAGCATTGTGGTCACAGTACCTGCCAAGGAAGGCGGTGAACGAAGGCGGCGAGGAACCGCGGCAAAAAACAGCAGAGTTCCACCAAGAACGCTTCGACGCGTTGGAGGACTTGCTGGGCGAAGTCGAACGTGTTTTTCCTGGAGAATGTCACACTGCAAAAGCCTCAGGAGTTTGACAGAAACGCACTCTATCTTGCTCCTTCCAATCTTGAAAGGATCGATTCATCTACAGTATCAGGCATCAGGGTATGAGATTAATTTCTCTCCTTCCTTGCTTCCATGCTTCTGTGCTTCCTCTCTCTCTCTCCCTCCCTCCCTCACTCGCTCACTTGCTTCCTTCCTTCCTTGGAACTTAGTTGGTGACTTTGCTCTCAAAAACCACCCATCAAAGCATTTTAGTAAAAATCAAGAGTCATCCCCCCAAAAAACATGTCCCAAAGTACTGGCCCCACGAAATCGCTGGCCGTCTTGTATACTTCTGCCACTCGTTCTTCGCGCCTACGGTGTCCGTCTGCGTGGGCGTGGTTAAAATCGCCTCATTGCCTCAGAAGGCGCGGCCCCGACTCGGACGGGGTTGTTGTTGACCTTCTCGACCGGCTTCGGCGTTGGTGACTCAACGAACTCGACTGGTGATCCACCTGGGAAAGCCAAGGACTCAAAAAAGAATGGTACGTACCATAAGTACGTGATTTATCTTGGCCATTGAGCTTGGCTCATGCTGTTCTTGACGGAGAAGTTGGATCAGAATGGCTGTGAAGGTCACCGGGCGTCCGCGAGCGGAACGAATCTATTCCGGAGGAGCGACGTCACTGTCGCACGCGAGCTGCGACTCCCACCATCACTCGAAGGACTCGTAATCTTCACATCTCTTCAGAACTAGATCTAGTCTCTTTCAACTCCCCAGCACTGACATCCGGTTCCCAACTAGCCTTCCCAGCTAGCCTTGAGCCACTTGCAATTTGAAGCCAGTAGCTATATAGTGTGTGTGTGTGTGTGTTTTTTTCCGACCCCACTGAAGTCTTCACCAGCCCAGCGACGCCCCACAAGTGTCAGCTTCGGCATGGGCGGCTGGTTCCGCATATGCGGCGGTCTGTAAGGCGGCATGGCCCCACCAATTGGGCGCGGCTTACGCGCGGGCGCGCGGCTTGGGCGCGGGCTACCGGGTGTCCGGATCTCTACGTCTATCAAGAATTGCAAGATGCTGTGAGGCCAGACACCGCGCGCGAGGTCAACCGCTACCTGATCCTCCAAGCTCTGGTGGAATCAGAGCCTCCAGTTGCCCGGTGATAAAGCTACTCAGAACCCTTCAGAACCCAACCTGCAGGTCCTGAGATGTTGGTGTTATACCTGTTTTTTCCCGCATCAGAAAACCGCTCCGCCTGGATGCGGCTCCTGTGACGAAAAACCGGCCCGCCAGGATTTCGTTGCGTCGGGTAAAGGCCACGTCTGGCCTCCCCCCGGCACCAACTTGCTGTTGGATCTGAGATGTTTTGAGATGAATCAGGATCCAGGGATTCAGGCCACGCGAAGTCTCCCCCATTCAACACCCCTGAAGAGAACAAGTGTTTGCATCTTCAAGTCGACTGATGCTGCTGCTGTTGTTCATCAGAACTGACCAGAACTTACTATAATGTCTCCAAGCCTTCGGCTAGACCGGGTCTAGACCCCATGCCTTGCATCTCCTCGTAAACTCGAAATTCAATCTGCCAGGTAGCTGTGAGCACCATTTGACCCAAATTCATCCCAATTCGCATCGCAAGTGGAAGCACTCGTCGAATCAAGGGGTGCCCACTGAATTCCACTCGGATTCCGTGGCATTCACTGACCCGAAATCAAACCTTCTGGTGCTTCACACTTCCGCAGTCTCCCTCGTGCAAATTATCCCCGTTTCATCCCGTCGTTTCCGTTGGGAAAGCATCTGCCTAGGCGTCTCCCGCTTGCAGCTCCACCCAGCTCCCCCACAGCTTCACATCCTGGCGCCGGTCCGGACCAGCGGGCCCGGTCCGGGCGTGTATATGTGTAATATATGCCGAAGTCCAGTTCGACTATATGTTGACTTGAAGTTTGCAGCATATTCCTTGACTCGTGTCACCTAGTCAGACCATTCTTTTGATAGTCTTTGACTCCCAGGGTGTGTGTATATGTGTTTTTTGGTTGGCCCGCGAGGGTCCTTGACAGGCACCCTGCGATTCTATTCAATCCGAGTAGATAACTCATTTGCCACCAAACTGCGAAAGGAAGGATGATGGTTCCATCTCCCACGCCGACGCTGGCACGTTCACCCCCGCGGTCATCCACCCGTCTCCACCGTCTCCACCGGTCCCCGAGCTAAGCTCCGGGTGCCAACCTGAGCACCTGGAGCTTACTGTAGATGGAAAAAGATCTCAGACTCAGAGAATCATCCCGGTATGTTAGCAGACCACCTGGTGGTTTGCAAGCGGGTTAGGGGTACAACTGTACACCCGCCCCAAACTGGCAAAAACCGAACCCAGTTCTGGCTCATAACCCCACTATATAACTATAGATCATGGTAAATCGGTGGGTCCGAAATCAAAAGTCCCAAACATTCTCACCTGAATCCAGGGCTCCTCCTCTCACCACCCGTCCTGCTCGTCATTGTTGCCTTCGCCAGCCACGCGGGCGCCCACGCGCAAGCAAAGGAGCCTCCCCGAGGTCGCGAGGCCAGTCTTCACGAGGCAAGTTCGAGGGCATCACACGGAGGTCTTGGATGAGAACAAAGGAAAACACCGCTGGCTTGGCCGTTTTGAAAGGTGACAGACCCTCTGTCGATCGAAAGAAGACAGAAAGGTCCCGTGCGAAGCGAGAAAAGGCATGATGTGAGAACATCTGCCCTTTTCCTTCATGAAGGATACAGTATCTTATAGATAGTTATTACTGTTCCCGAGAGCTGATACAAGACATCCCAAACTACCATAGCCCTGTAGATACAAAGCTCTCTTTGTGCAGTTGCCGCCATGCTTTCATGAACTTTCGAGGCTGCACTTCCACAGCCACAATGAGTTTGTTGAGGTCTATGAGTCTATAACCAACTAAAGGCCGAGATCACTGACGATAGCCCACCCCATCCCCTAGAGCGTCACAAAACCCCAGTCCCAGTCCCGTGCCCCTGTGGCAGGTTGCCCACAACCACCTGGCCGATCGGGCGGAAGATGTGGGCAAGGAGAAGAGCAGAACATGAGAAACTGGCAAAGCCTCTGGTGTTTTGTACATTCCAAGAATGGTCGTAGGCATCATATGCTATTAAGTTGTACTCCCACATCGTCCCTACCTGCCAAAAGAAAAGGGAAAAATCGATGAAGCTCTCCAAACACAATGGCAAACTCCCTTCATGGTGCTTTACTGGTCCAAGTAAGTTGGCATGCCATTGGAATGGTCTGAAGTCCAGGGTCAAGTGCACCATAGTGCGGAAGCCTGTGGTGATGGATTTATCATCTTTGGTCGTACTGATCTCGGAGCTTGCGACCACACATCCGCCACCCCCGACCTGCTGCGGTGGCTTGTTTGATCCTTGTCGAACAGTTGGCACATGTTGGCACTGAAAGCCTTTCTTGTTTCCTTGTGCTACCAGCGGCGTACTGTCAGTCAACCCACGTCGCGTGAAGTCAACTCACTGGATCGGCACTCACGTCGCTGAGTCGACTTAACGGTAGTCCCACCTTGTTGCTCGCCGAGACCTTGTGTCCCCGCATTTGCTTGGCAGCGCCCTGGCAGACACCAGAGCCCCACAGCCACGTCTGCATCGTCCCGTTTTTCCATGACATGAAGATCGGAGATCCTGCGGGGGTAAAGAATGAAGGCATCGAAAAGGATTCGTGCATAAAGAATCAGAGCCAGACACATCCCAATACATCAGAGACCCAAACGAAATCATCGGCGGATTCGGTTTTATGAGGCCAACGGTTGGCTTTCCTACCTGGCCAAGGTAGGAAGCGGCGGTTGAACATTCACTGCACGATGCCACAGGTCTTCTGTTCCAAAATACCCACTGGGGGGCAAAATTACAATATATGTTATATAGAATTAATGAGATATGTACTTCTAAAGCCTACACATCGCTTTATAGCCGGTCCACTTTTCGGAAGCTCATCGGGCTCGAAGCTCTCTTCGCACACCGAAGCTCTCCACACCCGGTGTCGAAGCTCTCCACACCGACACACCCGGTCCGTGAGACGGGTCCACGTCACCGACACCCCGCCTCAGGGGTGCGCCACTCGACGTTGTAGGCCACCCGCTTCTCCTGACCGCGAAAAACGCGTAGCCATGGGGCTCCACCCACGCGGAGCCCACGTGTTGGACCCCGACCTTTTTCGGGGGTCCGACGGGCTTAGACGGGGGCCGAGTGTAGCTGTGTGGGAAGGGAGGGAGTTTCGACCTGAAACAAGCATGGTTACGTGCATGGCATGGCCTCGAGTTCGGATGACCATTTTGCGAATACCGGTTTCCGGTGGTGCGGCCTCCACTAAACCCATGGTTTATTGGAGGGTAGCTCTCGTCTGCATTGGCGACCGGATGGATCGTTGATGGCGGCCATGGCATGAAATCCTTCGGTCTCTTCACGACAGAACATGTTGAGACCTGGATAGTTTCTGTTGGTCAAACAGATGGCGCAGCACGAGAATGTTGAATATGACTGGAGCCGATCAAGATCTCTACGAGCAGAGACCATCTGACCATGAGGCTTGGTACGATGCAAGGGATTTCAGGGGATGCTACTCAGTCAGACAATCATGGAAGATGAGCAAAGCCCCTTGGTAGCGGAAATGATCAGGCATAGATGAAAAGCTTGGTGCCCTCATCACCAAGCTCTTTTCCGCACTGTTCACTCTATATAATACCTGACTTCACCCACCCCCCCAAACCAACCCAAACCCCCCCCACCCCGCAACACTGACTCCACCATCTCCATCCACCCCACCCCGGCTCGACCCTCGCACCTGGTGAAGCCCAGGCCAGGTGACCTCCAGCGCATCGTAGGTCCGTGCGGTGACCCGGAGTTCGCCCCAGCAGGCGAGCAGCCGCTGGCCGATGAAGACCTCGCACGCACACGCGCACACGCGGAGGACCGACAGGTGGTCCTGGCTGGAAGGGGAGGCAAGGCCAAGGACTGACACGTGTTCAAGTCTGGAGCCCAAGATCGCTTTCCCACCATGCTTCATCTTGGGGGATCTCTTATAAGCAAACGTCCCGGTTTTGGTGCGGATGCGCCCACCTGCGCCCACCCACGAAGGTCGGGTTCCCCGGACGTCTCTCGAGTTCGATCGTCGGACGTCGTGGGGCCGAGGCGCCCAGGAGTTTTCCAGGTCGCACTCAGCCAACTGCAGCCAACCGCCGCCCGGGTAGCCATAGACCAGCTCCCCTGATTGAGCGAAGACAAGAGGTGAAGCTTGGTGCAGGAGGGCAGGGAGACGATCTAGGTCCATCTATAGGTGCTCTAAGGTCTTGTAACATGAGATCCTTTTCGTTAAGCAACTAAACGAACTCCTGTCTATCTCAGCTAATTAGGACCTTGGATGGGCAGAGTGCCAGTGATGCATGTGTAGACGTTGTGTGGTGTGAATCCATGCCTTAGGACAGAAGATAGCCCAAACATGCCAGCCTAAGCTTTAAGCATCTAAAGTGTCACAGTGTTGAACACACCCATTTACAGGCCACCGCACCAAACCAGAAAAGCCGGCCTCGTTCCAGCTTGCCCACCTGGGGACTCTGCACCAAGGGCTCCTTGCGCACTGGGGCGCTGTGGTCTTCAGCCAAGACCTCACAACTGCCCCGTCCACTGCGGCACTGGGCGGTGAGGAGAACGAGAGTGAACTCACCGCGGACCCTTTTCAGAAGCCAAACAGGGGTTTTGGAAGGGAGGGTATCAAGTCGCACACAATAATATGATATAATGTGTGTGTGCTTTCTCGAGTGTGATTCCGAATTATACTAAGGGACCATTGGGACGTTGTCGGAAGTTCAGGTCCTCTGTGTGTGCGGGATATCTCGGTTGGAGTTATATCATGTTTTGCAGGCGGCGAGGCTTCCAGCCAGCAAAGGCTACTTGCAAAGCTCTTGAGTTTGAGTTGAGAGTCTTGATTAAACAAATTGCTTTGTCAAAGCAGCATCGATACATTGAAGTTAAATCATGAAATCATGTTAAATCACCTACCAGCTGCTTCCAAGGGGTTACCAATGGACAGCCCTACAC